CCGGCTTTCATTCTTTACATGCATTTTTTTATTCCACTGCCATTCAATTCCATCCTTACCATGTTGCAAAAGCTGCTTGCCGAATAAAGTTTCTTTTCATGCTCTAAGTCAACAAGTTTTTATGCAATGCAAGTAGTTTTCTCCCACTTCCAGCCAAATACAGTATACATGCAGTAGTTACTGCGCCTGCCAGCACTGATTGCTATACCTATCCATATGTTGGTCATATTCCCTATGCTCTGCTCACGATATTTTGTGCCATATTGGTATATATCTTCTCATTCCAATCTTGGACAACATCTATTACATGCAAACCACAAGCAATCATCAACGCTGCCATTTACCTCCGCTCAAGTTTATACTCTCTTCTCTTTTTCTGCCATCTTACCTAACCCGTCCTCTTAGCAGAATATCCAGGTCCAGTATAATCCATTGTTGCAAGCCAAGCCTCACCAGTTGACTGCTTACTTCAATTGTACTTTTTGATGAGTCTGATGCCAAACAAGGAAAAAGGAGAATTAAATGATACAGTTTCACTCAGAATCAATTTCGGAAATTTTCAACTATGATAAAAATCTGCAAACCGGTCTGGAAACTGAGCTATCATATCACCATCATGGCATCAAATGAATATTTAACTTTTATAATCCACTGTCTAATTTTGACGACTCAAGCTGAAATCATCACTTGAAGAATCATGAAATCGAATCAAACCAAAGATAATCAGGACAGTTTCAATCAAGCTAATTAGGAAAAAACATCAATAGTAATACCTATTGCAGCTGAATCGATTTTGATCAAGGATCAAGATTATAATCATAGATTAGATTTAAATCAATTAATGTCATCTTGTCAAAAAAATGGTTCTCAAGCTACAACATTATATCAATCAATCAAACCCATTAACAAAATGGTAAGTCTTGAGAAAACGTTTGAGTCACAATCAAATAGATCGAAAAAAGTTTGATATCTAACCGGGCTTCGATTCGATATCCTTTTTAGTGTTGATGGATTTTATCAGATGACAAGCGAACCATGACTCCACATTCAACTGAAGATGAAAAAACGATTCTTAGGTTTCACCTCAAATTCGATGTCATCAGGATTACGAGAAATTCTCAAGTTTTCAACTAAACTGTCATACCTATCAGTAATTGTACTCACAGCAGGAGGTATACAAGATGACATTGTCAAATGTTTAGGTTCAACTTATCTATCATCTTTTGATTCAAACTCGAGGTCAAATTCACACAAATCAGGTTCAATTTGTATAGAAAATTTATTTGTACCCAATGAAAACTATTAGCCATTTGAAGATTGCTTTATGCCAATTTTAAATCAAAGGAGAGAAGCCAAATCAAAAAAAACAATTCGACTCCTTCTGAAGCAATTGAAAGACTTGGAATTGAAATCCTGATCCTCATTCTGCCCTGAATTATAAGAAAAATATGAATCTGATTGACAATTATGCAGCTCTTTATCTTTTGGTGATATGTTTTTGTTTGATTAAAATGGATCCCATAGATCACCTAAAATAGCCGGTATGATCATTTTAGGTGATGGTGTTTGTAAACATCAAATTGTTGATGCAATGTCACATCACATGTAAGCCGGTTTAACCTTTTCTGAATTTCTCTCACTCATTGTTGATTCATTTTGTTTTCTCAATATTTTCCTTTTGGGGACAGGTATGTAGAGGAATGGAGTGGAATATGCTTTGTATGTCAACCCGGGTCAAGAATTAGATGGATCTGATTCTGGTCTTGGACCCAATGAAGCAGTCTTTTGAGGAAAGATTAAAATGGATTCAGACAGTGTCCAAGTTAGTCACCTTTTATATATCAATTTATGTTGTTTATAAATCAATTACCTAACTGTGATGTGTTTGGTCTTCTTAGGTCTTGGCTGATGCTACTTTAGTCTCTCCTTTATTTGTTGCTGCTACTTTTTGTAAGAAATCAAGAAGTAAAAAAGATGAAGGATTAAATTTTCAATGATTATCAAAGCTGATGTGAAACAAAATATAATGTAATTGTTTTTTATGAATTCAAGTGGAATAGGATGTTTCTTTTTTGAAATTTCAACCTCTTTGTTTTTTGGTAGTCTGTTTGGGAACTTGGCTTACCAATCAAAGTTTGGGAGGTTTGATCTTGATTGAAGGAGGGGTTATATCAAACTATATCATCTTTTCTCTCAGGTACTGACTTAACAGTATCTCAGTATCATAAGGGATCATTTTGCCTTCATTTAAAGACTTGGTGAGACTTTTTTTGTAAGATGGTGTTTCAGCTAAACACATTCCTTTTTGCTATGATCCCAAAGTTCCTGAAGGATATATTGAACCTATGACACATGACCAGTTTTATTGAGCAATTCTTCAAGGAACAACAAATGCATCTAGGGTACCTTTGTCCTATGTGAGTAAGATGGGTCAGGGTACATCACCAATGATAACTTATCCTTTATTCATAATGTGTGATGTTAAATAAATTTATATACATAGAAACCCCACCTTCAAGCAAAAACTCAGTGTTTCACCATAGATTCAAGTACACAAAGCTCTGAGATCACACTTGAAATTAGGCTTTTACAAGCTTACACCTATATATGTTTTAGGTCTACGCAACCTGATTTGGACAACAGCTATTACATACAGACTTCAAGCAATCAGTGACACTACCGTTTACCTGTGCAAAATTGTATTCACTCTTCTCATTTTCTGCTGTCTCACCTAACCTGTTGTCTTATATGTATTTCCACCTTCAGTATAATTCATTGTAAAAATAAGCTCAGCACAAAGGTTTGTGCTGAATCTCATATGGCTGCTTTTCACCTGCTACCTAACCTAAAATAATCATTTGAAGAACAGTGCTATCCATAAAGGATATACACACCACTCAACTAACAATCTTGCTTGTCCAGCCAGAATGCCTGTAGTGTTTTTGTGTCCTAACAGTACTGACTTATTCATCTCAATGTTATCTTAAATTTAGCTCATGTTTCCTCTAATAACATCATCACTTCCATTCCAATGCACTCTGTATATATCTTCCACTCTGTCACTTCAGTACACTCATCAGTTGTGTAATTTGTAGCTAACTGTTCCATTCACTGGGTGACCCTTTTCCACTCCTCATTCTCTGGAGCATTATTTCAACAACATAAGTCAATATACACTCAACTGAGATTTGTCTTTGTCCATCCACTCTGCTTGTAATGATGTGTGCCATCAGTCGCAAATAAATGTCTCAAATGCTTCATAGTTTTAGCCCCTGGCTCTCACAATCATTTCCACGATGTCATTTGAATAAGCCCATTGGGTGCATAAATCATAGTCAATCCTCCCTTCCACTGGACAATCTCTTTTTAACTACTCATTCTGTTTAGTCTGATGTCAACCGCATAAGCTGATATATGATAGAGTCATTACTTTCAAAATACAATTCATCCTGCGGGTATTTTGGACTGTCCCATCTTCTCATTATTGGTCCTTCCTCCATTTGTCTGGCTACAACCTATACAATATCTAGACCCTCATAATTTCCAGTGTATATTCTTGCTGCTCTTCAAGCTAATGTTCTGCTATTCTTTCTCAAATGTCCTGTTTTTCTCATGTCACCACTCAAAGTTTTACTATCAGTTTTTTCTAATCTCCTTACTGTGCTTTACATTGGATACTCAGAACATGCCATTGGTATATCCATAATATCTATTCACATGCTATGTCTGATTAAAAAGCTCCCTTGTATTCACTTAATTGAACTCAATCTCCTCCCCAAAAATATTTATGGCTTAAACTTCTTGCTGGATTCATCCACCAATGCTGTCTTACGCTACAAAGGTGGAGTGAAAGTCAAGGTTCAAATTGTCCATCATGTAGCTTATTATTACAAAAGCATGGTAATCTGGAGGCACATTCTGTCACAAGTTTCTTGGAGTTCAATGCCTCAAATGTAGTGAATATCAAAGAGAATTGGAAGTTGCCTTCAATGTAACTAGATCAGGCACAATGATTTTACAGAGAAGATCAAAAATGAGGGCATGCTCATGTCAAAGTATCAGGGGTGAAGATTTGGCACCAAAGAATTGTTACCCTGAAAGATGTAAAGCAATTGTTGAGGAAAGAATGATGAATAGACATCGAACTACATGAGCTCAGTTTCAATTCTTCTGTATAACTGCAGACATTCCTAATAATCCTGTCACACCCAAAGTCAAATATAACAAGTTGAAACCTATTTGCTACAAGACAAAACCTTGAAAATGTGTCTAAGGTCATTCCCTGTGGTAAAATCCTGGAATTCTACACACAATTTTGAAATTTTATCCTGTAAATAGTTAGGTTTCAACACCTGATGTGTTCAACTTTAGGTTGTGAAACACATAAAGATAAGCTTGGAGCTGCTTCACCTGTGTAGTATAAAAAGAGTTTTTAAAATTTTCTTTCTATTCCTATCTATTACATACATTTACCACTGACCTAATATCCACTTGCGATCAGCTGCCTGTCACACAGTGCCAGTTCAATTGAACTTGAAGTTAATGCAGTCAACTGAGGAAATGTGTGTGTCTGTCATTGTCCTGATAGATAATTTCTTTCTCTTCGCTTGACTCTGACTTGAGCTTTAAATTCATTCAATTGTAAGGGTAAGGGCGGGCAAGCCCGCCTAAATTCTAGTGATTAAAGATATCTGAAGACATTGATGGATCTTCAATATGAAAGTGTGGTATAAAGCCACATGTGATCATCTTTGGATCTAGAAAAAGGCTAATGGTATATAAAACCAACAAATATAGATATAAGTTCATCTTATCTATTCTGAAGCGTTAATAAAATGCAATAAATGAGAGTTGGTTGTCAATCGCAAGAAAGAGGCTTGGAACAGGAAGGGGGCAAGGACTTCCAAAGGGTTTTAAGTATGTCTCAAACATCACATCCTTGCAGTACATCGAATAGTGATTCAGATCTGTTTCAAATGAATCTCTTTACCAAAAAAAACAATAGGAGACCAGATTCACGACCAAGTATGATCTAATCAGTTTCACTGGGCCGTGAAGTCTAAGGCCAGAAACATAGTGGGGAACTTTCATTCGCAAGAAAGTTATGCGTCAAAAAGTGCTGATAGACTTGAACAAAACTTTTCTGTGATTGTTATCTTGAAAGTCTGGTCATCCTGACTTGAAACTGCTTTCTTCACATCCCCATTTGTGTTTGAACTTCATCACAGCCTTGATTGCTGTTTCTGAGCAAAAAAAATCATGTTCCTAATGTTTTTTTTCTTGAAACACACACCTTCTGCTATTTGGGCGCGTCCCCACCAATGGATTCTGCGCCTGGGTGCGCCTCTGTTGGTCAAATTCGCGCACACCACCTGAAACTCCAGGTTTTTGTACCAAAAGATCTTCACATCTCCAAGAACCCTTCTCCGACAAGTCAACTCATAACTTTTCAACTCAAGTATCATTACACAAGAAATTCCCAATTAAAATTGATCAAAATTACTCACTAAGAAGAA